ATGTATGTATACAGTCGAATATTCGACTTGTATAATTCAATTCATACGTATGCATGCTACATAATCTCAAACTGTATATTGTACTATACCATAAGTACTATGGAAATGCGTTCATACAAACAATAATTATTTGTATCTGGTAATATAAATCATAGATTATAAACAGTCACAGCTATGAGTATATACAAAATTTAATATATGACAATATATTATAAACAATCACCGATATGATTCTTTACCATAATACCACATTAGATCTATACTCAAGCGTGTTAATAGTTGTTCACATTCAAATACGAGCTTAATACATCAGATACGACAATCATATAGATATGTATACGGCGATACAGACATACTCATGATATTGTACACTGATCACAATTCGACACTACAACATAAAATACAATAGATATAATGTATACGTGCATATACAATCATCAAAATGTACCATCGGTCGAATTCATCACAATCGTTATAACATCGCTATAAAAAATAAGTACATACACATTGATTCAACAGACAATAACTGTTAGAATAATAAAACACAAGGCAACGTAAACTAATACAATAACATACAAGATAATAGTTACCATCAAGCATGTTCACATTTATCACATACAATTACATGCTTAAACAATCACTTATGACAAATTCAACATATACGTATATAAGGCAATATAACAATAGATAGTTAAGAAACAGAGATAATACAACATATAACAACAACAGTCCGACCAATACAACTTGTCAGCCGGATATTTTCCAATTTAATAATATAACATATCAAATCAATCGACTGTATATTCTCGAAAACAGGCATACAAATGATGCAAGAAATATACAGATAGACATTGAATAGTAGGCAAACTAGAACAATACCGAGACTAGTATACATTAGAGTACTTACAAGGTTGTAATTTTCTGGGAACATAGCGGAGATCTGCCTACGCTAATTCGTCAGCAGGTTTGTGCACATAGGGCACGCATGACCAGGAACTAAAGAAATACATGTAAGCACAAACTCGACACAGGGCATTATAGTATAATATAAATTATATAATAACAGTCACATTCTACTATAGGTTTAAACGTTAAAACGTACACTCCGACACACTGATATGATGTATAGTCGTTTATAATCTATTACAGTTAAACGTTAAAACGTAAATTCCGACACCATACTATGATGTATAGTATTGCAAGTATACGCTTTGGGTGTTTGAGACAATTTCACAAAACGTTTTCTACTGCACACATGCGAAACAAACAGAACAGTTTAGACAAAAATGGTAAATAATATATGACAATTGCCATAGAATGGGTTATTCCGCTAAATTTAGCACAAGAAAATTGACAATGCGACCAATGATTTTGGTACAACTTTAAAAACGGCATATTTAACACAGGAATGGGACAATTTACTTAATTTGACTTAAATATTGACGATATTACTTTTGGAACAACTCTATAATTCCACCACAAATGCCAAAATGGACTACGTAGACCCCAATTGTTTAACCCCCCCACCCCCCTCCAAATATTGATTTTAGAAATGGAAAGATACATATATTATATTAAATTATACATATATTATATATATATCACCAGTCCCTTTTGCTAACTCGGATAGTATCCGACTTACGGAATTTTCAGTACAAATCATACCAACTTCATTAATTTTCAAAGTAAGCCAGACTCAGTACAAATTTTAAGTAGCACTCATAAGTCGGATACTATCCGACTTATGAAAATGCCAATTCAAATTTATATATCTGTATATTCATTGGCTCTAATTTTGGAATCTGATTTTGTTTCAGGTCAGTAATATATTTTAAAATTTATTTTAGGAAATTATCCATTAAAAAATAGGGTTGAAATGTTTATTTCGTATCCAATCTGAGTTTGATATTTTTATATTTTTAAAATTCTACATTGCCTCCTAAAGAAAAGAAATAAAAAGTTAGAAAAGTATTTTATGCACGCACAATACATACATAGCACCTTTTCTAAGACAGAAAGTGACTCGCGCTATGTCGCTGTCACAACACAATTGGATAACGCGCAAGCAAGAATGCAGACCTTGTCTTATCGCTGTTATTTTGGAAAAAGAAACGCGTCTATGCGTTCTGTGCAAACAGAAGTGGCATAGTATCGGTCACCCAGTTTGTGGCAAGGGTTATGATATAGCAAACGTACAGAAGGGGACTGCCTTTGCTATTACTAGGGGTTGTTGTTTCGCGAAGAAACATGATCCATTCTGTAATGGATGTACTTGCCCACCTGTTAAAAGGTATCATAATTTGACAACAGCGACGATAACTCTTATAAGAAATGAAATGAGTGTATTTATCATATTTATTGGTTATTGGAATAATACTTTACAAATCATCGTTTCCGGCAAAATTTCCTTGATCGTCGAACTGGTCAATGTCACCCCGGAATGATGGGGTATGGAATAACTGATAACAGCTGTAGTTTCGGCCCCGTATAAGTGTCTTACATAGACGGACCTTGCATCTAACGCAGGTCTTATTGGTTTCACGGCTACACCCGACAATTGAGCATGTCCGATAATCATCCCGTGGGCGCTCTCCGGTACGAATTGATCCACAAACCACTTCGTCAGGTACTCCCCAAATATGCCAGCGATGCCCGCCGTTGTCACATCTCAAAAGATTGAGTTCGTTATCATCAATAAATCTGATTGCTTTGAAACGTTTCATTAGCAGAACTCGCTCGCTCACCTCTTCAGGGGTTAACGTTAATAAGGGATGTGTTGTTAGGTTTCTATGGAACACCCCAGACGGCTCGTTCTGCGAAGTGTTGATTTTGTCTTCAGCAATTTCTGGAACTTCGGTATTTTGTGATTTTTTTCATTTGACCAGCTATTCCCATCAGACCCATTATAACTTTGATTACGAAGTCATTATAGGGCAGCTTCTTAGAACATTGCTTACGGAAACGACTTAGAGTCCCATTTGGGCTATTTTTATAATAGCGTTGAATTCTAGTTGCTTGGAAAGCATTTATTAAGAGTTGGTCGAATGAACGTGTTACTAGTTTCGGTTGGAAGGCCATAGAATTATTGCTTGTACACAATCGTTCGGTAAACTGGGTGGCTTTATCTACGCCTGGTTTCAACTTACTATATATCTTAGCACATCCACTTATGATATTACTACAAGGTAACATAGGGCCATTAGTCTTCACATATTTGCGTATTGCAGGCCATAAAGGGAGATACTCGGAATATATATTATCTGGTGATTCAGCATCAGTATACGCCCATGATAAGCACAGGTCATATCGACGCAGTGCTTGGTAGTATACATCTCGTACACTTTCAGGCACGTTAACTAAAACCATGTACGTAATCGTTCGTAGTACAAACGACAAATAGGACATAATCCACGTTGAGTACCAGTGCTTCTTGGATGACTTGGCCTCGGTATTGCCGCTGTACCCCTTCAAACCAGGCATTGTCACCTACGCTACAACTGAAATACCGGCCTCATTTTTTTCAAACCGTCATTCTATCTTGTATCAATTTATGGGCGGTCACTGTCTTCACCACTACGGCACACGTTGTTTGAACTGTACGTGTTTTGGGCGCGAATACTCGTGCAACGCCATCTGAATAGAATGGAAACCATAAATAGAAGGATTAGATTATATATATACATATATATATATATATATATATATATATATATATATAGTAGTACACGAATAACTATACTA